TTCTTTTTAACCTTCATTGGATTACCTTCCTTTCCTTGCTCCTTAACTGTGTCTCCCATGTTTTGAATTTAGGGCAAAAAGAGCTGAACCCTTGCTCCATTCCATCCACTTCTATGTTTTTCATTTGTCATTTATAAGCTAATGTAATAAGTATCTTAATACATCACCAGATTCCTCAGTTACTTGTAGATCTTCAATAAAATGTCTGTTTAGCCTACTTGCCCTGTATTTAGTAATATCGATATGTTTCTAGTCAGAAAACATGTATCACTTCCCCTCAGTTTAAGTGCTGTTTCTGTCATGCCTGTTATTTGGTACAATGATGAAAACACTGTCATTCAAGGTATTTTACCTAGTGAAGTAGACATACGCTAAAATCTGACAACTCATGTTTGAAGCGAAATATGATTAAGAAAGAACTTGGCCAGAGGCAGTCTAAGGGGAGAATTGAATCGTGCTTTGAAGAACAAAAGGTTGCAGAGCGTTTAGGAAAGTAAATCAGAGGCACTGAGTAGGTGTGTGACTCGTGCTTACTTAAGGTGAGAAGAGTCAAAATTGTAAAGGCAAGTAGTATGGATGAAGTGGGCCACTTAAGAGCCTGGATGAGAGAAATCAGAACCTGAATTGGGGTATTGGCAGAGTAGAAAGGACAGACAGAGACAACCTATCCACAAGTAGGTTGTAAAGTAGATTTACACAAGCACCCTTATTCTGACTGACTTTAAGCCTGTGTTACACAAATTGATCACTAGGAGGCATCAGTTCATCAACTAGTAAGGGGAAAAGGAGGGCAGCTAGACACAGTGTACCTAAGTCTGGATAGTTTTGTATAATTTAAACTTTTAGCCCAAGGCATTTTGGAAATTAGAATCTTCATATATTTCTTCTGAGTAGTATTTCAAAGATGAAGAAAAGGCTAAGTCTAAATTAACAACTTGGGACTATTTGGTTATCCTTTATGCAATGATGATGGTGACCTGACATTTTCATAGGCTTTTAAATATTTCTTGAAAGACATTTGACCTTTGCTCTCTATTCATATCTTTAATAACGATCACTTTCATGAGTCTCTGCTGTATATTGCAAATTAATTTATAAACCAGGTTTTTGTAATTTTGTAATAGAGTTAAATTAAACACTTTGCAAGTTCTGTTAAGTCAAATGTCTTAAACTAGTATTGATTAATGGACTTTTAAGCAAGTATTTGACTATTTAACTGCCAGGTAAGAGGGGCCGATATAGTTCCATTACTGTATCTTGTCCTTTTAATTAGACTTACTAGAAAACAATAGAATGCTAGTTTATGTAAATACCTCTCACAATATTAAGTTGCATGTTGCTCAGAAAAAGGCTTGTGGGATTTATTTTAGATGGTGTCTATGAAATAGGACAGCATTTAAGATTCAGAGGCCTAGCATGTGTAGTAACTGTTTAAAAGAAATTGTGCCATATATATATATTGATATGGCAAATTTTGGGAATTTTTCATAGTCTTGTTATGGCTTAAAAATTTTTTTAAGTAGGACGTATTATAAAAAATCCGTCAAAACTATTTTAAGAAACTTATTTTCTTTTTATGACATATGAACTCATTTAATTTAAAATTTCTGCATTTGGCTGGCCCGGTGGCGCACTGCTATAGTGCGCAGCTTGGGAAGCGCGGCGGCGCTCCCGCCGAGGGTTCGGATCCCACATACAGACCGGTTCCCGCTCACTGGCTGAGCGAGGCGTGGGGACGGCACCGGGGGCTGCGATCCCGTTGCCGGTCCCGGTCCGGGTGCGGGGGCGACACTGAGGGTTGCGATCCGTTGCTGGACACGGAAAAAGACAAAAAAAAAAAAAAATTCTGCATTTGTTTAGTACCTAGTATGTGCCAAGAATTGTACTAGGTGATTGGGACACATAAATATAATGATCCCTGCCCTCTTGAAAAGCTAACATTCTAGTAGGAAGGGGAGCAAAAATAGCAATAGGCATAGTAAATTATCCAGTAGTATATTAGAAAGTATGCTGTGGGAAAATTAAGGGGAATTGGGTGGTTGCAATTTTAGAGTGACCAAAATTGGCTTCACTGAGAATGTGACATTTGAATAAATACTTGGAGAAAGTGATTGGGATGACCCTGACATGTTGAAAATAGGTCAACGAGGGTAGAATCGGGGAGACGAGGTAAATCATTGCAGTAATTCACGGGGGAGACGATGGCGATTTAGATTAGGGTGGTAATGAAGGAAGTGGACAGAATCCAGATGCGGTTTGAAGGCATAACCGATGGGATTTCCTGACTAGATGTGTAGACTGTATATCGAGAGAAAATAATAAAGGACTTTATTGCAAAACAGGTTTGCTTCTACATATTTGCAGTCCTAGGGCAAGAGTACAATGGAGATAGCATATGCTTAAATATACAAAAAGTTTTGTTAAAACAAGTCTAATACTCCTATCTTAAAAAATACACTTTAAGAACCTGGAAAGCCAGGTTTGGGTTTATGCCAGAACAGCTTGCGAGCCACTTTCCTTCTCTTCCCACCCCTGCCTTTGAACTGTATGGTAAGGGGCCTCCTGCACATTTGTGTGGATACTGTTAGTCTGCATACTTAAACTCTGTCCACCTCCCTTACACATCAGTGCACACTGGTGAAATTATGCATTTCCTCAAACAGTCTAGACGTCATTTAGGGCAGGGTATTAGGAATCCTGAGTACCTGGAGTGTAAAATGAGTATGCACTCCAGATGGACAGTCTGTCGTTTTGACTTCACTAAAGTGCACAAGCCCTTTGAAGCTCAGGATTCTGGATAAGGGCCTCTCTGTCTGGGGTAAGGGTAATACTGATCCCAGGTTTTTGTCCTGAGCTGCTGTACAGGTGGATTGCTACCAACTGAGAAGGGGGCTGCAGGTAGAACAGGTCAGGGTGAGGAGATAAATTTGGGAGCTCATATGTTTTGAGTTCTTTATTAGATACCAAAGTAGTAATGTAGGGAAATGTAAAAGGAAAAATTTCAACTTACAGTAGCACTGGCCTGAAATATATTAAAATTGAAGGTTTTTTGTTTTTACTACAGCCATTCTAACCAGCTAGAACTGTTTTTTAAAAAAAAAACAACAAAAACCCAAAACTGTGAACTTAAGTGAACTCAGTATTCCAGATCCTTATTGAACCAGTTTTATCCAGGAATTTGTTTTAATCAATCACGTATAAGCCTATGGACTTCTCCAGAGTGCTGTTTTTCAATTTTTTTTTTTTTTTAAATTAGCAGATGCTCTATGATCTCATTCAATGGTCTAAAAACCCCTCAGACTTTTGTCCATAGTGAACCTCTCAGAGTGTCCTCACTACTAAGTGTTCCTTTGTGTGGTGTGCGTGTTTACTGTTTTTTAACTTTAGTAGTCTCTTTTATTCTTTGGCAATAAGCAGTTGGATATAAATTGGGGGTATAAATTTGGGAGTCTCTGGCATATAGATGTTATTAAAAGTGATGAGAGTGCTTGAGATCAACAAGGGAGTGAGTGTAGATTAAGAAGAGAACCAAGGACTGATACCTGGGGCACTCGAACATTAAAAGGTTGGGGAGAAGAAACTGAGACAGTGACCAGAGATGTAGGAAAACTGAGGGTGATGTCCTTGAAGCCAAGGGAACAACTTTATCCAAGAGGAGAAAATGAGCAACTGTCAGATGCTACTGATACACAATGAATATTGCCAATTGTAAAATGCAATTTGAATTAGACATTTCAAATTTGTTCACCAAATATGTTTATCAATTTGTTAGTTTTCTTTTTATACATTGTTCTGATTACTTTGGGATTAAGCTCTAATTTCTTAACATGACACAAGTTTTGAATCTTGCTCAGCTCTTCAAGCTCATCTCACTTCTTCCCCTCTTGAATTCTTTGTTCTAGCCGTACAACTAGGAGGTGAGCTAAGCTTCCTTCTTCCACTTGGGGCACAATAGCAACCCTTCCTTTTACCTTGGCCAACTCTGACTTGTTCACCCTCGTTTGTTTATTCTTAGTGTGATTCTTCTTACCCTCCCTATCCTCAGGGTCGGTGGGGCTTCCTGTTTACTTGATCGGTGAATTTCCCCACCAGATGGTTAGATCTCGGTTTAGGCTCTTTATTCTGCCTTACTTCCCAGGGAACAATTAAAATAGAAATTATTTAAATGTAGGAATAGGAGGGAGTTGGAGGGGAGAGTAGGGCATTACCTTCCCTGGGTCGCAGGTAAATGAGATTACAAAACAGATCTGGCCCGTTAGGCGCTTGCAAAGAGGGAGTCGCGGGGGCCAACCAGGCGTTTGGAGGGCTAAGCTGTGGTTTGAAAGGTGGGATCTCTTAGCACCGGACTTTCGCCCGGTTTGTAGTTAGAGTTACTGTTAAGAGATGTTGCAGGCTATACGAACGCGTCGAGAAGTAAGCCAGAGAGCCTGTGGTCCGGGTGGAGAAGATAGGCCTAGTGCCAGTGCTGTAAAAGAAAAGCGAGGCGAGATGCCACCTGAAGTGAGACCACCTTCCTCCACCTCTTTCGAACCCGACAGACGGTAGCGCTATTGCTTTGATTTAACAATCGCCCTCTCTCTACTCCAGGAAGAGCTATTTAATGACCATAAGAGAATGTGCGTGTGAAGACATGAATCCTCTCAGCCTTTGTGCACTAAGAGGTTTACGTGCGCGTCCCCGGAGGCACACTTCGGCGCACTTCTGCGGCTCGCTAGCTTCATCTCCGGCCTCGGCTCTCCCAGGCCAGGACATTGGTTCTGCGGGATCTGGGAGCCCAGCGTGAATCCCTAGGGCTAGTTCCCGAGGACAGTGAGACAGCTTTGTGTTCCAGACACTGCCTGGTAGTCGTACCCACCTTCCCAGTCCCGGTCCTGGTTTTGTGAGGTTGTTAGCAGAGAGCCCCGCGGACCGGGGAGAGGCGGGACGGCGCGGATGGCCTCTCAGCGCCCTCTGCGCGTCCGCATTCGTCGCCCGGTAGCTGGGGCGTCCTCGTAGATCGCCCTGGGTGGAGGAGAGGAGTTTCCGGGGCTTGGGTCCCGCCGCCTTCCCGGGGAAGGAGCGCGGAAGCAAGTGGGCGGCGAAAGGCGGGGCAAGGGACGCAGGGGGCGTGGACGCGGCCGGCTTTGGAAAAGCCCCAAGTTAATGAGGCGTGCGCCGGCAGCCGAGCGCCTCTCAGAGCTGGGCTTTCCTCCGCGGTGCGGGCGCCAGGAGCCGCCTTTTCCGCTGGGTGTCACTCGGGGGTGGGGAGGATGGCCCATTCAAAAGCGCCGCGAGGGGGCCCGGCCAGTGCCCTTCAGTGAGCGCTCGCAAGACGACAGCAGAGGCCCGGCGGCTTGCAGCTCCGGGACCTTGTGGCGCATCAGGACGCGGCTGCCCCTCTGCCCGGACCCAGGGCCATCACCGCCGCTCTGCCTGCTGCGTGTTAGCCTCCTTTGCGCGCTCCGGGCAGGCGGCCGCGGGAGCCGCTGGGGCGAGGACGGCGCTCGGCTGCTGCTGCTGCCCCCAGCCCGGGCAGCTGGAAGCGCAGAGGCCGAGCCAAGCGGCGGCCCCCCCTATGCCGGGAGGATGCTGGAGAGCAGCGGCTGCAAGGCGCTGAAGGAGGGCGTGCTGGAGAAGCGCAGCGACGGGTTGCTACAGCTCTGGAAGAAAAAGTGCTGCATCCTCACTGAGGAGGGGCTGTTGCTCATCCCGCCCAAGCAGCTGCAACACCAGCAGCAGCAGCAACAGCAGCAGCAACAGCAACAGCAACAGCCCGGGCAGGGGCCGGCCGAGCCGTCCCAACCCGGCGGCCCCGCTGTCGCCGGCCTTGAGCCGCAGGTCAAGCTCAAGGAATTGCACTTTTCCAACATGAAGACTGTGGACTGCGTGGAGCGCAAGGGCAAATATATGTACTTCACTGTGGTGATGGCCGAGGGTAAGGAGATCGACTTTCGGTGCCCACAGGACCAGGGCTGGAACGCCGAGATCACGTTGCAGATGGTGCAGTACAAGAATCGTCAGGCCATCCTGGCGGTCAAGTCCACGCGGCAGAAGCAGCAGCACCTGGTCCAACAGCAGCCCCCGCAGCCGCAGCTCCAGCCCCAGCCCCAGCCCCAAACCCAGCCCCAGCCCCAGCCCCAGCCTCACCCCCAACCCAAGCCTCAGTCCCAGCAGCTCAGCCCGTATCTGCACCAGCATCCGCACCCTCACCCACATCCGCATCCTCACCCTCACCCGCCATCGCATCCGCACCAACAACCACACTCGCAGCCGCACGGCCACAGGCTTCTCCGCAGCACCTCCAACTCTGCCTGAAGGGGGCAGCACCCGGGTCACAGAAGGTAAGGTCCCGGCAACTCGGGCTTCCGAGGAGTGGGTCGCGGGGTGCTGGGAGGAGTAGGAAGCTTGTTCACGGGTTCGGCTTTTGTGTGGGGAAATGAAAATTCATTCCAAATTTCTGGAAAGGTGAAAAGGAGAGAAGCAAGTTGGAGCCAGGAGAGGCCGGGCAGAGAGGGTGGGGATAACTCTGGCCGGGCAGGGAGGCCTCCTGGACAGCCTTTCCGCCCACCCTGACCAACTGTGTTCAGTGGTGCGCACCTCTGCACCACTTGACTGTGGTCTGGGCACTTGAGGGAGCGACCCAGGTGTCTTTCTGAGCACGCTTTGTCTGCCGGACTGGCCCGAAGAGAACTGGATCTTGGAGGATTCTGAGCCACCTACTTCATTCGGTGTCATTTCTTTCCAGGTTTTGAGGACTTGAGGAAGTGGGACGAGCGCATTTCTATTATCTTCACTTGGATCAAAGAGAAAACAATCCCCCCGCCCCACCCCAGATCAAGTAGTTTGGACATCACCCGACTGATAACTTGCGATTCCTCTTAGTTTTCTGCATACTCATCATCACGATGCAAGAAAAGGAAGACTTTATTTATGAACCTTTGAAAAGATCTTCTGGTTTGATGGAACTTCTAGAAGGGACGATATACTGTAATTTTATTTTAATGTATTTTGATTTATGATTATTTATTAGTTTTTTTTTAAATGCTTGTTCTAAGACATTTCTGAATGTAGGCCATTTTCCAAAAAGGAAACTTTATTTTCAAAAACCTATTTCCTAGTAAGACCTAATCTTGGAAAAGAAGAAAAAAAGGGTGGTGGAGGGGAAAATATTAAGAATCCATTCATTATTGCTAGGGCATTTTCAGAAGGTCTCACACTTTCATTGTTATGCCAGGTGGTTGAAATTAAAATCTGATATTTCTTTTTTTTTTTTTTTTTGAGGTTTTCTTACTTAGACATATAGTTTGTGTAGAATAGAAGTTTTAAAAAGCTAAAAGTTGTTCAGACTTGTGTAATTATGAAAATCTAATGCTCGATACTGCTTTTCTTAAAGGAAATCAGTAGTAATGCTATTTGATTTCAAAGTATTTAAAACATAACCCAGCTGATGGCAGGATGATCAAATCTAGAATATGTGATAGGGCTTGGTCTACTGTGAGAAAAGCCTTGCTTGTATCATCTGTGTGAAGGTTTAATAAGGAGAAGAGTTATTTTGACTGTGATTTATGAATATCAATGCATTAGATGTTTCATTTCAAAAATGTCATGGGGGAAAATAGAATCATTCAACTTGTTTGAGAGAGTATTTATGTCCCTGTCAGACTAGAGAACCCTTCTTCAAGAGCTTTGCACACTTGATTGAACCATATTTTCTTATCCTTTTACCATGTTCTAGAAGCACACTGAAGAATCTCATAGTTTAAAATACAACTTGTAAATATTTCAAAGGACTAGGAGTCATAACTTCGTTTTCATACTGAAAATGTTGATCAGAGAAATCAACTGTTTTGCTTTTTATTGCTCTATGAGAAATTTGAGGGTTTTATGTTTTATTGTTAGGTTTGCTAAATTCAGAAATTGAAAAAGTAGAGGACTGGATAAACACTAGATTTTCACTAAGAAAACAACCCCAGTTTTGTTTTAGCAGCCACTTGTTTGGGAGTCTTTGGAGGAAAAAAGAGGATGTGCTTTTAAAGGTAGAACAAACCCTCTTCTGTGTTAAATCAAAAGGATGGTCAAAATCCACAAAGGCAGATGCTACTTATGTTTAAAAAGAGCCATAAATACCAAATCCTCCTGGGACTGAAAATCACTTCCTATCTGCATGGCTTTACTAATGGGTCTCTGTTTTTCATTATCTTTTTCACAAAGTCTTGGTCAGTATTTTTCCAGCATTCAAATTGGAATGGCCAGTATTAGACCACTGCTAAGTTATATAGTCAAGAAATGAAAATAGAATTGCATGCTAGAGATGTCTTTATTGTTCTATCTAGAAAGATGATTCAAGGTCAAATTACTTTTTAGAGCAATATGATCATAATAACCGTTATCCAAAAAGTTGCAGGGAAAATTAAAACTTAAGCAAATGGCAGGCAAAACTTAAGTAGACTTCTACTTCCAGTGGCTGTTTAGGTTGCAGTTGCGAAAATATGCTGCCAAGATTTTAAAAACTCATATATATACGAATAAAATAATTATATATATATATATATATAATAATTATATATATATATAAATAAAATAATTATATATATATAAAAATAAAATAATTATATATATATAAAA